GTCTGCCCTCCGTTCGTGCCCTCGGACTTCACCTCAGCTGGGTGACGGCAGTCGGTGTGGCTGAGCGAGGGTGCACCCCAGACGCCACGCGGCTCACAGGGGATGGATGTGGTGCTTTCAGAGCCCTTATCTGGTGCCTGTTCTGGGCAGCGATGGGGATGGACATCAGGACACCAAGGACAACTGCCCACAGCTGCCCAACAGCTCCCAGCTGGACTCGGACAATGACGGCCTCGGAGATGAGTGTGACGGGGACGATGACAACGACGGGGTCCCAGATTACGTGCCTCCTGGTCCTGACAACTGTCGCCTGGTTCCCAACCCCAATCAGAAGGACTCAGATGGTAAGGCTGGAGTCCCACATAGGGCTGGGCTGGCGCGGGCTCTGCCCAGGGTGGGGGGTGGCACTGCCTCGGGGCGCCGGCCAGGCCTTCCTGAGCGCCTAGCCTCGCTCTGGCCTCGCTCTGTGCAGGCAATGGCGTTGGTGACGTGTGTGAGGATGACTTTGACAATGATGCGGTGGTCGACCCCCTGGACGTGTGCCCCGAAAGCGCGGAGGTGACCCTGACGGATTTCCGGGCCTATCAGACCGTCGTCCTGGATCCTGAGGGTGATGCCCAGATTGACCCCATCTGGGTGGTGCTCAACCAGGTACTGGGGCAGTGGGCCGGGCAGGTGCTATCAGACCAGACCGCCAGGTGGGGCCTGGCGGGGGCCGGGGTGGGGGGTTGGTCAGCGCACCTGGATCAGGGCTTCCTTACTGCACACCACCAGGGCATGGAAATCGTTCAGACCATGAACAGTGACCCCGGCCTGGCAGTTGGTATGTAAGGGACGCCCAGCTCAATAATTTCCAAACGCAGGAATCCTCCAGGGGTGGACGGTGGGGGCCAAGCTGGCCACACGCACAGCAGGCGTCCCATCCCACCCCTGGCCCACAGTGGGCCACCGGTAGCTCTGCCGGCCCTGACCTTGACCCCACCCACACCCAGGATACACAGCCTTCAACGGTGTGGACTTCGAAGGCACCTTCCACGTGAACACGGTGACGGATGACGACTACGCGGGCTTTCTCTTCAGCTACCAGGACAGCGGCCGCTTCTACGTGGTCATGTGGAAGCAAACTGAGCAGACGTACTGGCAGGCCACACCCTTCCGGGCTGTCGCTCAGCCGGGGCTGCAACTCAAGGTCTGGCAGCTGCCCAGACTCCCCAGACCCTTGGGCCCTTTCCCAGACCCCCCAACCCCCACCGCGTGAGTGGGAACCCAGTTTCCCATGTATCTGGCCAGGAGGTTGGCTCCCGGGGGCAGGGGGTGGGGGAGCCCTTCAGGCTGTTCCCCCGCCCACCTTGACTTCCTCTGCCACCTGCTCTTACCAGCCTGTGGTCCTGGTCCGTGGCTGTGGCTGACAAGCTGTCTTCCCCGATCCCCTCCAGGCAGTGACATCGGTGTCCGGCCCGGGCGAACACCTCCGGAATGCCCTGTGGCATACAGGCCACACCCCGGATCAGGTGCGACTGCTGTGGACGGACCCCCGGAACGTGGGCTGGCGGGACAAGACCTCCTACCGCTGGCAGCTGCTGCACCGGCCTCAAGTGGGCTACATCCGGTGAGGGAAGGGGGCGGCAGAGCCTCTGAGGCCCGGCCCCGCCTTCCCTTCTCCCTTAGCTGGGACTCCCCGGACTGCCCCTGACCGCTCAGTGCCCCGGGCCAGGACTGGGCGCTGCTCTCTCTTCCCTTTCGCCACAGACGAGCCGCCTCAGCCCCGCCCGCCTCCACGGCAGGCAGCCCGGGCTCTGGTGCGGGCGCTGCAGGAGGGAGACCGTGTTGGGCGAGTCCTTCCTTCTCCAGGCTCCGTGTTCCCCTCTGGGAAATGGGGACATCTTTGGGAGCCTCTAAGCCGCAGGCCAGTCTGTGGAGAGGCCCTTCACATGCAGCCCCTTCCGTGCTGCATCCCAGGAGCTGCCCCATCTGTGTCTGACCTGGAGGGAGGGTCATCATTTGCAGAAGAGTAAACCGAGGCCCAGAAGGCACATCCCCTGGTCGGGAGCTAAGGCTTCTGGGTTTGGTGCCGGTGCCGTGTGCACGAGCGCACATCTCCTAGTCGGTGGGGATGACGGGGAAGGGAGGACCGATGGCAAGGGCCCAGGATCCAGGGACGCGGGTCGGTTCCCCTTTAAGGTGCCTGGGGCTGCAGGGTGCCAGGGCAGGGGGTGAGGGAGGGTGGACTAGAGCCTGGGAAGCGGGTGACTTCACCCCCCAGCCCATTGTGCTCATTGTCATGACAACCCAATCCTCGCTTGGAATGTGGCTGGTGCTTTGAGATGCAAAGGGGGCGGACAAAGAGGCAGGGGCCCCAGGCCTGAGAAAAGCACCCCCGTCCCTCCCCTTTCCTTCATCCCTCCCCCTCCTTCCGTTCTCTCTCAGGCCCGGTGAGCTCAAGGGGGGTTGGGGATGAGCAGGGCCTGGCCTTGATGGCCCAGTGCCCCCTGGGCGCCCTCGCACCAATGGACGCCCCTGCCCTGGACAGGGTGAAGCTCTACGAGGGTCCTCAGCTAGTGGCGGACTCGGGGGTGATCATTGACACGGCCATGCGAGGGGGGCGCCTCGGGGTCTTCTGCTTCTCCCAAGAAAACATCATTTGGTCCAACCTCCAGTATCGATGCAATGGTGAGGCTCTAGACCCGGATCCGTCTGACCTTCTGGCTCTGGTGGGAGAGTCCCATCTTCTGACCTTAGCGGCCCCTCCTCCCGCAGACACCGTGCCGGAGGACTTCGAGCCATTCCGGAGGCAGCTGCTGCAGGCGAGAGCGTGAAGAGTCCGCCGCCGGATTCAGAATCCTGGTTTCTGACCCTTTGGCCTCGGGGTCCATCCTGGAGACCCTCGGGTCTAATCTGCAGCCGCTCAGCCAAACACAGACCCTCCTCCGGCACCGGCGGGAGTCCAGTCCCAGAAGGGTGGTGACCCCACCGTTCAGGAGATGGGAGTTTTCGGGGGGTACCTCTCAGGCACTGACCCCAGGAAGGATCCCAGCACACTGCCATAAAGTTCCAGTGGTTTTCTAAGCTAGTGCGTGGTGCTTATTTTAGGGGTTTTCCGGGGTAGTGTGGGGCGCAGGGGGTAAGGAGGGGGGCTGGTAGGATGAAAGTCAGAGACGTAGGGGACGTTTGGGGCCTGGAGGAGGACGGTGCCGGGCTGAGCCAGGTGAAGGACGGGGGGCTGGTCCGAAAACAGCTTCGGTCCTTACTCACGGTGGCAGCGGCGACACTCCGGTCTATCTTAGGTGGTCCGGATCGAGAGCCAGGACGGCTGGAGCTGGCCCGCTCGGGGTGGTGGGGGCCGGGGGGCCGGAGGGGCCGGAGGCCGGGACGAGTGCAATATTGGCGGGGGAAGGAACAACACTGCACCGCGTCCCGTCCCTCCCGCCCGCCCGGGGCCCGGGGTCCCGCTCCGCACCGCTTGCAGCCGGGCCAGCCCCAGAGCCGGGGTCGCGCCGGGGAGTTGGGTCCACCTCGAAAGCCCGAGAGCTGGCGCCCGGGCGAGGGGCCGGGGACGGCCGGGGGGCGGCCCGGAAAGCCGCTTTCCGACACCCGGCCGTTGCGCGCGCTTGCTCTTTAAATACTCGGAGCGCGCGGCGCGCAGCCGTCGCCATGGGGACGCGTGTCCCGGCAACCGGGCTGAATGGCTGTTGCCTGGCAACGCCGGGGCCGAAGTTTTGGGGCCGCCCACCCCGAGGCCCGCGCCTTCCCCGGAGAGGGGGCGGGCGGGGGGCTTCCGCGGCCCTCGGGCCTCCGCGCGGAGCCGCGTCCCGTTCGCCGCCGCCCCGAGGGGCTGTGAAGGCTCCCCTTCCAGCCTGTTCCGCGGCGACTGAGAACGGTTTTCCTAGTGCGGGCGCCTCCGGGGGGGCCGGCGCCCCCGCTCCACGTGCGCTGCGCCCAAACCTTTCCGCCTTCGTTCCTCTCGTCCCCTCCTCCCCGTGGCCCAAGCACGCGGCCTCCCGTACAGCCCCGGTCACCACCCTGGGCCCCCAGATGCCCTTCTGTTGCCCCACCCACTCTCCGCCGCCGGCGTGCGTCACGACCTGCCCCGTCTCCCCTCCCACATTCCGCCGTCCGCTCCCACATACTTGGGCGCCCCTTCCTCGTGCCTCAGGACCCCACCCCCCGAGCGCCGCCTCCGGCGGACGCCGCCTCAGCCCCTCCGTGGGGGAAGCGGAGCGTCCCTGCCCTCCGCCCCCGACCTGCGCGCCCCCGCCCCTCGGGCCGCTCTCGGGCACGCCGCCCCCTCCCGCGACCCGGGCGCCCGGGGTTCCCGCGCGCCGCCGCCAGGCCCCCGGGGCCGCCAGGGGGCAGGAGAGCCCCGCCCGCCGCGAGGCGGAGCACCGGGCGGGAGAGACCCTGGGGGCGCGCGGAGCCCAGGTTCCGGCCCGCGGCGCGCGGAGCCTTCTTCCCCGCCCCCTCCTCGGGAGGGTCCAGGCGGGAGCGCGGCCGCGGCAAGTCGGGCAGGGGCGGGGGCTGCGGCTGCCGGTGGATCTGCGGGCGGAACCCGGCCGGGAGCGGCGATTCCGGGAAGGGGCGGGGGGAGGGCGTCCAAAACTGGGCCCCGGCCCACCCTTTCCCGCGCCTCCTCGCTCCTCCGCAGCCCCCGCGGTGCGGCTTCAGGGGGCGCGATGAGAATGGGGGCCGGGGCGAGGGACGCGAGGGTGAGCTTTCCCGGCCTGCGGTCCGAGACCCAAACCCAGCCCACTTCCTCTGCCCCTTCTCTCACCTCGGCGGTTGCCTTGAGGCTAAACCTAGAGCCAAGGGGACCCAGGTCCTTGATTCCCCCCGCCTCCCCACACCCCTGCTCCTCTTCTGGAGCCGGGGGTGGCGGTGCTGGGAGAGCCCGCGGGGTGTCAGAGGGTGGAGCGATCGGAGCCCACGTACCCCACCTGAGGGGCAGGAGCGCTGCGGAGGAGGAGGAAGGGGCAGGGGCGGGGGCGGGGCTTTGTCACCTGTCACCTGCTCCGGCTGAGCCCAGGGCGGGCCGGGGACCGGTATAAAGCAGCGGGAGCCACCGCGCGCGCAGAGCCTCGGCGAGTCTGTCCCGCCCCCTCCCACGCAGCTGCCACCGCCATGGCCCCGGCCCCTCTCTTCCTTCTGCTCCTGGAGCTGCTCCTGCCGCCGGGTGAGGGTGCCCGCTGGGGAGGGGCTGCCTGGCTCCTGCGGTCTTCGCAGCGTTTGCGCGGGTTCTCTGTCCTCACAGGTGGCGCCCCGGGCGCCAAAGCTGCAGGCGGGGCGGCCCAGGCTGTGCCAGAGTAAAGGGGGGAGGCCAGGGGCAGACAGCAGACAGGCCCGAGCCCCGGGGAGCCCGTGGGGCACCTGAGGAGAAGTCTGGGGAGGTGGGGGGAGTCAGGAGACACAGGTCTTAGGGGAGGACAGCTAGGGGCAGGGGTGTGGGGAGAGGGGAGGCTGCCAGCCAGGAAGGAGGAGGAGGGCCTGACCAGGGTTTGGCCTGCTAGGAATCTCTCTGTGCCATTACTTCTCAGGAGGCCGAAGGGTGTCTTTCCTCCTTGTTCTGATTTGTCCCCCAACTCAAACCTGTCACCTCAACCTCTTACACTTGTCACTGCAGCCCAAGACGCCGCTGACGCCTCGTCCCTGGTCAACAGCTCTACTGCAAGCTTGCCCTCCAGCCCAGTACCCTCTCATACCTCGTCCCTGACCACCACCGACCCCTCGACCCCGACCACCA